CAGCCGTGCCCGGCGCGCCGCCGGCCGCACGCCCACCTCGTTTTGAGGCACGGCTCACGCTCTCACGGCCCGTCCCCACCGGGTGACCCCGCACAGAAGTGGCACTGCGGGTGTTTCTCCGGGGCAGACAATTCCCTCCTCCCACCACGGCGCAACTGAGGCCTCCGGCCGGCAAAGCATCACCCTCAAGTGACTCATTTTAGCAACACCTCTAGGAGCGGCAGCTTGTCCTTGATTTTCCAAGGGCCCTGCCACCTCCAGAGGGAGGTCTCCCAGTGAGCTTAATTGCTGGCTCCCTGCTCTCCCACCGAGCACGCCCGGGCAGCACGCTTCCTGCAGCCTCTCCGGGAGATGCCACCTCTTCCCAAACCCTCTGGTGATCAGACGGGCTCAGGAGCTGCGGTTCCTGGCCCAACGGCAGAGATGTACTGATTCGCCATGACCGGACCTTACAGAAGACAACTGCAGAAGGCAAACGGACTCCTTCACACCAACTACTTGGGCGAAAAAAAGTTTCATCAACTATTGAGCATACTAGAAATCACAGCACTATAAACCTACAAATGCCAAATTATCTCAGCCAACCACCATGTCGAAGCTGATCTTCACCCAATCCTTTCCAAAATCCACTGCTTCCTACTTGACGGCTACCAGGCAGCAAGCGCAGGTTTCAAAAGATGCTCTTGGGATGCTGACAGGATCAAAAATTCACATATGTACCCTCTAATTCTCCAGACTCAGCAGAGCATCTTTCACAGACAAGAGTGATTTCCCCAACTTGCCAGCTTTCCAAAGGCAATTTAGAAACCCAGCTGAATGCGGCCATTGTGCAGCTGGCCTCCCTGCAACTTCATTAATACGCTCACACGATTAATTGACAGGACCAGCCCCGAACGCATGGCAAATCACTCTGCAAGTTGGCTGCGGAGCAACAAAAGCCCGGCTCATTCAGTGTTTGCTATGGCAAAACTTATCTCAACCACTGAGGAGGACCCAAGGTGAGTTTTAAAAGCTGCTGTAGAAGGGCATCAAGCAAGCTGAAAGGAAAACAGGAAAAGGCCACAACAAAGACGGCTCTGTCGTTACGGGTCAAGCAGCTTCAGATTTGGAGGGGGGAAAAAAAAGTTTTTCCATATGACGTCAGTAATTAGAGCAGGCATTACTTTATCCAGCGCCATCAGAACCTGGCAGAAGAAGGCTTGAAAATGCATTTTGGTACGCATCCTAGAAGGTTTTTTTTTGGGTTTTTTTTTAACATTTGACTATACTCAAATATGAAAAGGAAACAAAAAAAGAAAACTGAAAACACCATCAGGAATTTTTTTTGCTGTTCACATGCACATCAGGAAAATAGGTACAGGGCAAAGCACCCTCATAATTCATACTGTTTGCGCAGGCGCTGTGGGGCAGCAGGTGGAAAACAAAAACGTCCAGGATGTTTTGGGACACCGCTCCTCCTCAGTACGGGCCTTCCCGTGGCAGGGGCCTGGCGTCTGTATTTCAAACATGCTCCGAGGTGCAGATCGGGCTGAGGGAGGGAGTGCGAGGGCTGCCGGCACCCATGGTGAGCCCCAGCTTCTCGCCTCGCACCTCCGCACCCAGCAGCGGCTGCTGCAGGGGGCTTTCCCACGGCATTGCCCCACGGGTGATCAGAGCCGCTTCCCCGACGCCTGCTCGCCCAGCGGCAGCGAGGCAGGATGCTTTATGCGAGGCTTATGGTCCTGACATGGGCAAATCGCGAAGGGACCTTGGTCCGAAATTTTTTCCCCAGAAAGGATGTCCCTGATCATGGGGGAGAATTTCCTTGCTCGCCACTGCAGTGATTTTTCAGACAACAGCAAAACATCCTCGCTGATATTCTTTGCTCGAACCAGGCTAAACCTAAGAAGGGGGACTTGCCCTTCTTAGTGCTGCTCAGGAGAACAGAGGAATGCTAATCTTATCTTTAGGGGCTATTTGTCTGTCTTGAGGAAACGTGTTGATGCGCGGCATGGCTCGGAGCACAGAAGAGCCAGAGGACTGCTCAGGTTGGAGGAGACTTTGGGAGAGAACCTACTCCAGCCTCTTGCACAAAATGGGGCCAACACTGAATTCAGACCAGGTTTTTTAGGGCTTTGTCCAGTCAGCTCAGCCACTTCTTGAAGTCAGTCCCTGAAAACCTCCACGGTTTTCCCTGCCTTTCCTGTGCAAAAGTGACCCTGTTGTGTGCTCAGTCCTAGGCCAGAGCTTCCGTGAGACACCAGGATGCCCTTGGCCTCATGTGGCAAGTCACCACCTTTGAAAAGCCAGGCCTGGTTCAGGTCCCAGTAAACAGCACTGTAACCCACCGGAAATTCGGCTTGAGACAGCTATTGGTGGGTAAAGCTCCTAATTCAGCCATCACTGCCCACTCTTCATTTCTTAGGCTGGGTGGGGGCAAAAGAGGACACGGAGAGAGAAAACCAGATCACTTTTCCACTTGTTAGTAACTGAGCACGCAGAGGACAGGGAAGAGGACACACTGCAGATTCCTCAGCCTATTTCTATTTAGTAGCCATGCAACCCACAGTGGTGTTCCGTCAAGATTATTAGACATGGATTATTGGTGCCACTTTGTGCTCTAAATTCAGTGTTTGGGAGGAGCTCCATACTGAAACCGTCCAAGGAGCAGGAGCTGCTGGTGAATCCCTCCTACCTAGCACCGAGAGACCGAGGTGCAGTGCAAGGGTAGGAAGGACCCCTCTGTGCCACACGACAGTGTGGGACCTTTATGCCTCTGGAGCTGGCGGCATCTCTTGGTAATGAAGATGGCTGTTTTTCTCCTACACTGCTGTTACTGTTCATCTCAACACCACAGCAGTAGAGCTGGATGGGCACTACAGGTTGGCCATCATGTCACCTCCGGGATGGGGGATTACAGGTAAAGGATTTGATCAGGGAAACCCCCGAGATGGCCCAGCTCTCTCTCTGCCTCCCTTTTCCTTCAAAGTTCCTCAAGATTCAACCAAAAGCTTATTAAGATGGTCGGAAACACTAAAGAGCATCAGAGACAGTATTTTGGGGAACAGGTTCTAAGGGAACACAAGACGGAAGGGAAGACACAAGGAAGCTTAACCACACCTCTGCCTGAGAAGGTTTAGGTACCGTCCTGAGCTCCACCTACTAATTACAGTCCTGAGTGCATCTTATCAAGAGCGTCACGGTGGTAGGACTGCAAAGTACTGCAGAGTGTCACCATCCCTATTAATAAACAGGGACTCTGAGGCATATCCAGCTATTGTCACTCGCGTGCTGTCACCCAGCACAGTCAGGGGAAGCAGAATTTTGGCTCCAAGCCAGGATTTTGTCCCCTTCCTTGTAGAAACGTAAGTGATTTAAGGAAAAAAGCTTGCTAAGTTCACACTGCACATCCAACCCTGCTTGGCAGATTCTCTTCTGGTTGACGTGGCCAATTCCTTATCTGTACGTCTTTCAAACAGAGACAAGGAGAAAATTAAAGAGGCATAAAAGCACCAAACTGACTGACATGCACATAAGTAAATAGCTGTTAGCTGTGTAATCTCCTCACCGCTCACACTGCCTTGCCCTGTGGAAATAGTGTTATCTGCAAAATGCATTCACAAAGTCAGAGAGCTGGGAAGAAAAGGCCATGGATCAAGGAGACTGGCTACCCAACTGACAGTTTTGCTATAATAATTTTGCAAAGTTATTGAAAAGGCATATAATTTGGAGAAAAAAAAAAAAAAAGAAAAAAAAGAGTATCCTCTTCTCTCCACCCTCTCTCCCTCCCACCCATACGACCTACATTCCTGGGAAATTCAGTGGAGTCAAAGCAGACTCCTGAATCGTTGTGGCATTGCTGAAAGCATAATCCAGAACATATGAGCACAGCCTTTGTGCTGTGAAAGATAAGAGCGAATACATAAAATGGTACAAGACCCTGACTACACACAGACATTTTATGGGAAGCTCTGCAGCGAAGATCATCTGCCTAATTTCTACTATCACCCAGGATGAAAGCGCTCCTCTTCAGAAAAACTTTGAGCCTCTGCTGAGATAGATCTGGGTGCAAAGAGAAAGATGACTTTATCTGCAATAAAGGCAGACTCCTCACCCTGGTGCTGCAGGAGGGGCAGGACTGCAGACTCTCGGAGCACCTATATACACCAAAAGCATGTAATGCCACATCTTGCAACACCTTTCCACCGAAGCACCCCTATAGCTGGCCCAATTAACCTGCCCTGCAGAGGCAGGGCTTGCCTGCACCCACGTCCTCTGCACACCCGTGGAATTCCTCTTTTGATATCAAGCTGCAGGCTCACATGGTCACTGCTTGCACAAATCCAGCAGAGTAAGCGAAGCAGTAACACGGTTCAACCGCACAATCTGGTTCGGCTAAGTAGCTAAGACCGTACCGCATGGCAGAGCAAAGGCAGTTCATACGATGCCTGCCCCGCTGATGATCACCAGGCTGGGACACAAGGTGGAGCCATCGGAAACCAAGCCTCTCGCTCTCCAGACTGGCATTCGCTTCGGCAGGCTGACTGCAGCGACATTAAATTAAAGAGCGTCCCAAAAACTGCTGCGAGGTCTCCAGTTACGGGGGATTTCCCCTCCCATACAATGTGTTCAGTTACACAGACAGATATCAATCAGATGAGGATAATTTCATGCCCATCCTTTGGCGAGGGGGCTCCAATGCCTCACCTGATTACTGTGGGTGTGATTTCAGCACAGAAGAACACGCTGAGGCTTCCAACAGCATGCGAAGAAAACATACCCACGATGGAAAACGCAGTAGAGAATTTGTCTTTGACGCTGTCACTCATACCTGCCAAGACAGGTTCATAAAAAGTGAGAATGAGGACAAACTTGTGAGGAAGAAAACAAGATAATAGGTTTATGTTACTCATTCTCCCTAGACAAGAATTTGAGTCATTTTTGTAATACTAATTTAAAACTGGTATTTATAAAATCCATTCCCCAAGCAGCCGAGACACAAACATACATGAAAAAAATCATAATGTCATGCCAAAAATGGCAGCGATCTCTGAATTATTTATGCCCAGCCACCACAAAAAGGTAAAACCCAAGAAAAAAAACACATCTTTGGGCAGTCTTTTAGGCACCAGCCACTTCCCTCCCACGTTTGACAGACAAGCGGAGGCAGGCAGCGTTCATTAAGTTGCCAAGCATCTGGTACAGCTCAGTGGCTTAGGCACTGGAGAGGCTCACAGGACAAGAGGGGAAAGAAATAAAAGTGCTCTCATTTCTGTGCTAAGCTCCTGCAGGTGATCAGTCTGCAAACTCTGTCGTAACCCCCAGCTTGACAGTCTTCGCTGGACAACCCTGGGCGAGAAAAGCCGGTGCCGTGGCTGGTGAAGCACTCCCCTAAGTCACCGTGTCCAGCAAGGCTGTTTGCTCAATCATTTCATGGCTGGATGGCAGCAAGGTTTCTGGGAACGAACAGTGTCCATCAAGCATAGGGAGAAACCCCAGTAAATCTAAAAAAAGCTAAAGGAAACCGTGTCCTGGCCCTGATGATGTTACATCCCTTGATCCCCCCTCCCCAACTTCTGTGGGCAGGAGCAGGATATCGGATCCAGGGTTGTACAAGCTCATGTGGTCCATCCTGGCCAGAGAGGAGACCATGTTGTTTGCAAGAGACTGTTCCGCCATAGGAGGGGAACACATCGTGCCTGATGGGAGCGCTGGGGAAAGGACTGGAGCTTTGCAGGCAACGTCTCCCATCTTCCTACAGCCAAGTCCTAAGATCTGCCCAGAGAAAGTGCTGCTCATCAGCGTGCAGTCCCAAGCAGGGGCACTCTCTGCGTTGGATCCAACAAAAAGCAACACCTGCTTTTGTTCTTGCTGAACACATCAGCTCTCAGGAGAGCAAAAGGTATTTGGGAGCTCTTGGGTTACAACTTCCAAAATGTGCTACAGCCAGCTCAGGGCTAACTCCTTTCTGCAGTGCACCCCAAGTCTGGGGGAGAGAGCAAACGCTGCCAGCAGACAGGGATCTGAGCGTGCAGACTGAGGGTGTCTGAGGCTCCCTGGCTACGCCTGCATAGGGAGTCATGCCGGGAGTCATGACTGCTCAGCAGAACAGACCTTGGAAAAGCTGGGCCAGTACAGGTCTGTTATAGCAAATACAGAAGGGTAAAACTTGTTCCCCTGCAGCCTGTCACCGCATTGCTACTACAGTACTCCAGGTTGGGATAAGGTGCCTGGGGAAGTATTTTCTAAGGTGCTTAAGTCCCCTTATCAGAAGGGACTTTGGCATCTCAGACCTTTATAGAAAAGACCAAAGTGGGAATGTTGCTTCTGAGAAGGAGACTTTCTGAGAAAGCATTGCCCCTTTCTAAAAGTAAACCTTGGGGGACCTCTGCATCCTCTCTGGACATGCAGAGGCAAGTCAGACTATGTGGAGGGGATGCTACACCGGGAGACTGCGTATAAACAGACGGGCCTGCCTACGAGTGGGGTCCCAAGGCTTTGCATAGAAGTGGGCTTTCCCCCTGCACCCCTCTGCAGCAGCAGCTCTGCTCTGGGTGCTTCGGTCCCGGCCTTTCGGATCCACACGCTCCCAGGGGAGCGCTTCCTGTGTGATGCAGATGCGCCCGTAAACCATACCTGAGTCTGGAAGTTGACTGTATTTTCCAATCACTGGATCCAAGATGACAGGAGTTAAGAATAAGATAAAAATAAGAGAGGAAGGGAGAGGAAACAAGAAATATACTCGTTACATATGCAATCACCACCAAACAAAAAACAAACCAAAAGTAAGTCCCACATACTCCCCCCAGCCCCCATACTCTCCTCCTTTCCCATGCCATAACTGGCACATCTTCTCACAGCCACCAGATAGGATATATGCCATTTCCAGGCCCCTTTCAGCTGGAGGACAGCATGCTAATGAGACAGTGATAACAAACACAGTGGTAAAGCATTTTTAAGAGCCCCCGAATTACCACTGGATTAACACAAAGGTTTCTTTGTTGTTAACAAAGGGGTAGAAGAGAAACTGCCCTCCTGCTGCAGCCCTGAGGAAATGGCCAACAGAGCCTTAGTGGTGGGAGACCTCTTCTTCACCAAAACCCGGAGCTGGTGGTCCACATGTCACACTAGCCACCAGCTGCCACGTGTCCCACCCGCAAAGGTGCACACGGCAGAACTGGGCAGCAAGGGGAAGGGCAGCAGCACGAGCTGGGCACAGCCCTGCTGCTGGTCTCCCACCAGGCTCCTGCGGCACCCCAGGCAACACCCCGGGGTCCGGAGGAAGGACTGAACACAGAGAGCCGCAAGGTCTGCCATGGGTTTGCTTTTGATGGAGAATACCCCTCTCCCTCTCTCACCCTCCTTCTCAAATTCTGATTTCATCTGCTGATTACACCCAAATCATGCTAAACTAAAACACACAGGAGGCTATAACAGATTTCATAATTGGCAGGGTCACTGCTTCTCTCCAAACATTGTCTAGCTCTTCTGAGGAGGAAGCGGGGCATGGTCTAGAGCAGGAGGATATGAGCTGCTCCGAACTTCCAGGCTGCCTTTCCCTCCTCACAAAGAAAGGGGCAAGGGCAAAGTGGGGAAGGCTGACAGGTGCACGCCATTGAGAGAAGTCTAGGTGCCAACGTAGCAGAAAGCACCTAGAGCCCATGGTTGCTTTTAGTTTTAGCAACTTTTCTCACAAAAGCACCTAAACCAGTTATGGAAAAGGTTGTAATGATTCCTACAGGGTGTTCCTCCCCACCTACCGCACCCCTTTTTTGTTGTTGAAAAACTGCAACCAGATTTTCATGGCTCTGGAACAGACTAATGGCTCTGGCACACTTTCTCTCCTCTAAGCAATTGCATGTTTATTACCTCAACAGCCTCAACAAACATCTGATGTCCTTAAAAAAAAAAGATTAGACTAATCTAGTGTAGAGACACCCTGATGGGCGGCACCACCACAAGAACATGGAGTTTTGGGGGATTGCACACACACAGAGTGTGCATCTGCATGTCAATGCTCGCATCCATCAACGGGCTGGGGATGAGATGGGGCCAGGGGTCTTCTCCCACTCTCAGCTGGGACTGCTGGACATGGTAAATGTGTGCTCAAAGGGAATGTAAACATCTGTGCCAAGCTGGGAGCAAACACATGTTATTTTGGAGTTTCCTCCATGTCATGAAAGAGGTTCCCTGTTTCCCTCCTACACTCCCACAAATAGCATGTTAGCTAAAGGTTGACTTAGTAAACGGTTTCAGGAAACACAGTCTGTAAATATGGACAATTCTTTCTGGCTTGGGGCTGCCTTCAGCACGTAGGAATGTGAAATCTTTCCATCCTCAATGCAAAAAAACTTTCTCATTAAAGCCCTTTATTATTTCCAAACTTAGAAACTAAAACCAGCAACAACTAGTGTTCTGGTGTTCATCTCCTATCCAGTTTGTCCAAAGCAAGTCTCAACCCTCTTCCCCCTTTCTTGGGGTGAGGTTTCATGGGACAGGGGTCTAATGGTTGGCAACTGTGAGAGTGGCAAAGCACATCCCACCTTTCCACTGCTTCAACATCTCTCTCATCTATCACGCTCAACTTCCTCAACCAACAGAAAATTAAGACAAGGAAATAAATTAAAAAAAGGAAAGGGAATATTTCTGTAGCAGTTTTAATGGCTGAAGAAGCTCAAAAGGGCCAGAGAAAGTTCACCACCTTCACGCAAAGGAGGAGGTGGGACACTCTTGCTTTTGGCAGGAACAACCCATCCAAAAAGCTGTATCACCTCACAAAATCATGTGTATAAGTTCACATGGACTATGCATACACACTATGTTAAAAGTAGGGTCTTTCAAGTGCGTATTTCCATGCTACCTCTGTATTACTCACATGTAACAAGATGCTGAGAGCAGGCAGAGGACATATACCTATTGCTTTAACTTCTGTTTGTCTAGAGGTCATTCGAGAAGCAGACTCAGGTAGGAAAGTTTTCCCTTCCCAACCCCTACCCAGATCTTTCCCCAGAGAGTATTTCACTGAAATAAAATTAAAAGTGTTTTTTGTTTGTTTGTTTTTATGCAACAGTCCTAGAAGCAGGCCCAATGCTCAACAAGCTTCACCACGGGGACTCATCCAAAACACAATGCCTTCTGTTAATGAACCTAAGACAACAAGTGCTTGGGGAATCCTCCAGACGAATTCATCTTCTTAAACTAAGCAGGTGTACAGCATGTCAAATCTGAGAAAGGCAAAGGAAATGCTAGTATTTCCTGGTCCCTTATTCGCATGTCAAACTCATGTGGTCCTGAAAAGCTCCTGTCTCCAACTTACAGTTGAGAAGGCCCAGCTGCAGAAGCGATGCCAGAGCTGTAAGGATCATGAAAAGCAGAAGTCCTCCTCTCCTCCCCAGAAACCCGACCACCGGGCACATGGCCAGGCAGGATGCCAGCGCAATCCCAGCCATGGTATAGTAGTCCGCATAGAAGTTGTGGGTAATCGCCATCTTCGCTTCGTGCCCCATCATGCTTTTCGCAAAACAGTGGTGTATGCCATAACCAGTCAGCCTAGGGGAAACGGGAGAGGGCAAGAGGAGATCATTGTTGAAAGGGCAGACACGTGCTGCAGCCGTAATGCAATGTAGGAACACGTTAATGCAGGAAGCATTTCTTCTGCTGCAGGAATACAACACCTGGTGCAAAAAGAACCAACTCAGACTTCTAGGTTCTACCATAAAAATAAGCAGTGATCAAAAGAAACCAAAGAAAACCCCTATTCAACCAGATATTCCCGATCTACTGGCTTCATATGTTGCCCAAGATTGGTGTATGAGCAACTGTATAAGGACTCCTAGTGCACGACTGGTTTTCCCAAGGTATTTCAGAACTCCCCTACCCAAGAACATCTCTCTGTTCCCAGTGCATCTGCTGACGGCCACAGAGCCAGCACTGCTGCAATGAAGCAGCCTGTGTGCTTGGACAGCAAAACACTGTGCAATACAGATGTGTCCTCCAGGAAGACCCACGTGCCTGTGGCATTTGGTTGTACTAAAGATTGCATCTCACTTCGCAAGTTAGACTGTTACAACTGAAACCCCCTTAGAAATGAGTATTTAAAGTCACACATGGCACTGCAATGATTATTACAATTATGAAACACTAAGCCCTAATTCAATCTACATGTTTACACCACCCTTCATAGCAATGCATCTCCCCTTCTTTTAAAAGTTTCTTCGTGATGCCAGTGATCAACATTTCACTCCTCTTTCTGTCTCCCCCTGCTTCTCCCCAAAAAAAGAAAAGGAAAAAAGAAAATGGAAAGAGGAAAGAAAGAGGAAAGAAAGAGAAGAGGAAAGGAAGAGGAAAGGAAGAGGAAAGGAAGAGGAAAGGAAGAGGAAAGGAAGAGGAAAGGAAGAGGAAAGGAAGAGGAAAGGAAGAGGAAAGGAAGAGGAAAGGAAGAGGAAAGGAAGAGGAAAGGAAGAGGAAAGGAAGAGGAAAGGAAGAGGAAAGGAAGAGGAAAGGAAGAGGAAAGGAAGAGGAAAGGAAGAGGAAAGGAAGAGGAAAGGAAGAGGAAAGGAAGAGGAAAGGAAGAGGAAAGGAGAGGAAAGAGGAGGGAGCTGGAGGTACAGAAGTCAGATGAGAAGCCCCAAGATCACCTCTGATGTGGTACAAAACTGCACCAGAGTTGCTATGGGAGCTCAATGCTCCCAGCTGTCCCCATCACAGCACAAATACCCCTGCTGGGAAGGGCCTCCTGCCCCTGGCATTCAGACCAGACAAACCTCATGTCACAAATTAATTGTGCCTGACAGAGTGGCAGGCACAGAGCCAGGTCTCCAAAAAATGAATGGCAGTTACATTACACTGATATACACCTGTGTCCTCCTGGACGTCAGGAATTTGAAGCTCTGTCAGTGTAAACTGGATATTAATGTAAGCATAGAAGAAGTTGGGGGAATACAGAGTTGCCAAGTGCATGACAGCCCAGGGCCTGGGGAATTTCTCTTGTGATCTTGTGAATCAATGCTATAGTACAAAAATACACCCCCAATACCAAACACCTTCCCCCCAGTAAAAACTAGCACAAGTACTTGCTGTTACACAGGAATGTAATTTGCTTTGGATATCTAGATTACAATTGACTCCTCCCATAAGTGAAATATTAATCAGCAAAACAGTATTTAATAACAGGGCAGAGTGTGTATCTTCTCCCTCTCTCTTCTGTGCAAGCCAACACACTTACTTGTTGAAGTTATTATTTAGGTCGTGAGCTATAAACGAAATGAATGTATCATTTGCACTTTGCTTTCCAGCCTGCTTCCCCAGGAGTTACTGTATTATCTCAACTTGACCACCTCAGAACCGTTGCTTTTAAAACTAAATACATTTATCTCCTCTTGATGTCTCACAATTCCCTGCAAAAGGTTCTTTCTCCCTGTTCCATGCTACGAAAATTTAGCACAGCCCCATCTAACAGGAATAACAGAATTAAAGTTAAATAGCTTTTTTCCACCCCTTAAAAACAAACACGAGAGCTATTTCCTCACACACACATCTGCTTCGTGCTCTACTTGGATGGCAAAGAGCCTCTGTGCGCTATTGCCAGAAGTTATTGTTTGGGCTGCCTAGCTCTGGTTTAGGGTATTTCCAAATGTGTGTAATTAAAAAGGGTGAGGGAGAAGGGGAGAATTCCCCACGTAAAGGCTTTTCACAAATACAGTTAACACTGGCTATTAAATCTACCAGCTCGGCCCAAGAGGAGAACGCTGTTTCAGAAGAGAGGGAGTCGCCCACCGGTCGGTGGGAGAGAGACACAAAATCATGAAACCAGAGCTGGTTCTGCTACCAACAGTAGTGGAGACAGACCCCTGAAGGGGGTTAAGACTCTGGGTTACGACGGATCCACGTGCCTGTTAACAGCAGTGAAGGCGGCAGAGGAGGGCCCTGAAGCGATGAAGAAAAAGCCACAAGAGGGCTGTGTACTTCTAAACAGAGCAGAGGATGGGGGATTTCCAGTCTTCTCCTCACCTCCCATTTGGTGGAAAAACATTCACAAAAGGAAATAAATTGGGCATTTTATAAGACTGAAAAACTGGAAAATCCACCCTTTGACACACCCCAGAAATTGAGTTTGGTTAGAGACTAAATTTTCAGCACATCTATCTCCTCTTTACAAGGTGCTCAGTTTGGACAGAATGTCTCAGAGCCTGTAACCTGCAAAACCCCCAGGCAGATGCCTGGTTTTGCCCACGTAAGCATGTCCAAGTCGAAGCCTTAGGACGCAGGTATCACATGGCTCTGTGCGGGTGTACTGGGTTTGGGTGGCAGGGTTTTGGCAGCACGGGGCGCTGCAGGGGTGCCTTCTGTAAGAAGCTGCTGGAAGCTTCCCCTGTGTCCGACAGGGCCAGTGCCAGCCGGCTCCAAGATGGACCCGCTGCTGGCCAAGGCCAAGTCCAAGTCCATCAGTGACGGTGGTAGTGCCTATGGGGTAACAGATTTAAGAAGGGGGAAAAAAAATGGCAACAGCAATTGCAGCTGGAGAGAGGAGTGAGAATATGTGTAAGAAGCAACCCTGCAGACACCAAGGTCAGTGAAGACCACGGTGAGGCCGGCTGTCCCCC